CTTCCTTCCTTCCTTCCTTCCTTCCTTCCTTCCTTCCTTCCTTCCTTTCTTCCTCTTTTCCTCCCTCCCTTCCTTCTTTCTTTCTTTCTTTCTTTCCTCTCTTCTTTCTTCCTTCCCTCCCTCCCTCCCTCCCCCTCCCTTTCTTTAGTTGTCAAGCTAGAGATCTCAACCCCACCCCCATGCGCCTTGCTCGGCAAGTGTGCTGGACTCTAAACTACAGTCCACCCTGAAGATATTAGATGAACATTAATATCTAGTGACCTCTGGCTTCAAAAATCAAGTTTTATCAATTTATATATAATACACGACACATGTCTCAAATCTTTTCATGGCCCCTGACAGAATGTTTACATGAGTTCTTTGGAAAGAAAGGACAGGCCAGTGGGAACCCTTCCTGGGAACGTGGTCTAATGTGTTTGTGTCTTTCAGATTTACTGACTGTCTCAAATACATGATCAATGTAGATAAACCAGAGGACAATTTTATATATGAAATGAAGCTTGGTAAATCTGACCATTCAGCATTGATTGCTGCCCTTCCTCAGTGCTAAGCAGGAACCCAGGCATCGGGACTACATGAGCAGACGGGGGCGGGGGAGAGCCTGCCTTGTGGAGCACAGGGTCCAGGATGGGGAGGAGGCCAATCAACACGTGAGCAAAACGGCAGGGTTTTCGTCCCTCTGTCACCTCGGACAGCCCCCTGTGCACGGCCCACGGCCTACCTCACTTGAAGGAAAAGGAGGCTTGAGTCATGTCACACTTCAATAACCAATTATCTTAATCCCATTCCATCTCCAAATTAACAAGATACGAATTTGAATAAATCACAAACACATCAAATATTTTTCTAGATCAGCTTTCAGGGGGCGGTGCATACAATCCAGGGAGCATGCCCAGTGAGTTGGGCCCATCCAAAAATAAAAACTCGTCAGGAGCCTTCCTGTTGCAGAGCCTTGAGAAACACTCCAGTGGAGACCACACTGGTTCGCCTGCCATCAGGGTCTCATTCAGAGCAAGGCATTACATTCAAGAAGGTGCCTGGCACTTCGGTCACAAACCTGTTCGGGAGCGGCCACCCAGCTCTTTTGTGCATCAACCCAGAGAGTCGAGCTGAAAGACTGGGGTTTATTTTGACTAGAGGGAGGTGACAGGGAAGCTTTGAGTCACAGAGTTCTGGTAAAGAACAAATTCCCAGTGGGGTGGCACATTGGGAGGTCCTGGGCACCCAGGCATTGTGGAGGGGAGGAGGGTCCTGGAGACAGACCAATTCTCAGCTTCAGCTCTCCCACCCCAGCAGGGAGGTTGGGCTTCATGGGTGGCAAGTCAAGCGGCACATTGTTAGCTCATGTTTTGACCATCCCGAGAGCTAGTAGTCTACATACTGACAGTTCAAAGAAACACATCCAGCAATGGGGCTCTGTTCTCAATAGCTGTTTAACAGCATGCTTGCATTTAAAAACCACAAGGAACATATGAATGTTGAATTTGATTGACTCTGATGCACCGGAAGACAGAGACAGATTTTTTAAAGATGTAATTGCTGTCTTGGATGCATTTTAGGAAAGCAAAAATGAGCCAGTGCCCACAGTACCTCCAGAAGGTTACAACAGAAAGAAGGAAGGCTCAAGTTTCAAAAACAGGGTTGGAAATGGACAAATGACCAGAGGGAGCAAAATTCACAAATCCTACTGCTAGTGGTCAGTTCAAATCACAGCTCCGCTCTACCATTCGGAGCAAGGTCCTATTCCAGTAAAACGCCTGTATTGTGTGAGTGGGATAACTTCACATTGAGTCTGTATGAAGCTGTTATGTTGAACTGCTTTAACAGAAGTGAGGCTGGTTTGGGCGTGGATTGAGAAGAATCCATCACCGAATTCTCAGCAGGATCATGGGAGACCTTGGTGTAAGCCAGCGATTCAGCCATCTTACAGTAGGACTATGCAAAGCTCACTTGGTAGAGAGCGATCCTGGCATGCACATAGCACTGGGTTTGAGTCCTGACCTGGTGCTGCACACCTGTCATTCACAGCTCTCATGAGGTAGAGGAATGTCAACCTGGGATACAAGAGACTGTCCAAAGAGAGAGAGATAGACAGAGAGACAAAGAGGGAGACAGATCTTCATGACAGTTGATCA